AATGACCGCCTACAAGGTTCTCTCAGTCCAGATGTTGTGACCTCAAGCGTTTTATTGTGTTCATATACTGGACCATCAGAATTCTTTTTTTTTTATAGCAATAACCATATTTCAGTCTAGTTTTACAATTAATTTTTTAACAAAACTTTGCCAAAAATGTTTCAATAAAACTCTGCAGTATTATAATTATTATACAGGATTTATATAGCGCCAACAGTTTGCGCAGCGCTTTAAAATATAGGGCAGACATTACAATCACAATACAATTCAAGACAAGATGGTAAGGAGGGCTTACAATCTAAAAGGGAGGGGAAAGTCATATATGAGGAGTGAGCTGTGTGTGGATGAATTGTTTGAGTACGTGATGGTTGAGCGGTTAGGTTGAGGTGGGATAGGCTTCCCTGAAGAGATGAGTCTTTAGGGATCGCCTAAAGGCAGTCCAGGTGGGCGACAGATGGACAGGTTGGGGTAAAGAATTCCAGAGGATGGGAGAGACTCTAGAGAAGTCCTGGAGGCGAGCATGGGAGGAGTTGACAAGCGAGCTGGAAAGCAGGAGGTCTTGGGATGAGCGAAGCCGGCGGTTAGGGTGATACTTTGAGACCAGGTTTGAGATATAGCCGGGGGCAGAGTTGTGGGTGGCTTTGTAACTGATTGTTAATATTTTGAATTTTATCCTTTTGGGCTATTGGAAGTACATGGACACTTCCCATTGTTTTATCCCCCCAAAAATGCTGCAAGTACAGAACAGTACCTGTTGATCTACCAGAAATCCGGTGAGTTTCTCTCCCCTGTTTGGGCTGACAACACATTTCCTTCTCTGCATCGGAAGCCCAACCCGCATTGAAGGCCCTGTCTGCAGTACTACAATATCTCCACAACTCCATACATTAACTCCACAACTGTCCCCTTTCCTCATTGGTATAAGATGGGTAGTAAGGCAAGGTATTGTGGTATTGCGTCTACACTGGAATATTTGGTACAATTATCACTGTAGTGAGTCAAAATGGTCTCTACCTTTGCCCTCTCCCTTGCACCCCTTTGCTAGACCACTTCTGTTGTTTTGTCTGAGTGAGCTATCTTTTCACTTATTTTAAGTGCCATTTTTAAAATCTTCTTGTCTCATGGTGGTGTGTATTATATTTCATGCATGACATGAGATCACCCAGAAGGGATGGTATCTGAAATTTGTCTGTCTTTGCCCAGTACAAAGACTTTCCCCTGATTTATACACCTGAGACCTGTGTCCTAGCAACTGCCTGGGATAAAAGGTTCTTGGAGAGCTCTATATAAACAGGCTTTGTTAAAGTTCACAATGGCAGGCTGTAAAACAAAGGTCAGCCGTAATTTAACAAACCCAAGATGTGGCTCAGTCAGAAACTTTACATTAGGTAAATGCTCCAGACCCACACGGTTCCCGCACAAAACACTGTAAACAACTTTTTGAGTGAGCTGCACATTTATAGGGAATGAAGTGTACTTATTGTGTTTTTTGTTTTCAATTACTTTTTGTTTTCTGGAATCTGAAAACCGGCATCAGTTGGGTACTAAAGAACTTCTGAGCAGTTTGGGGATTCTGTTCCCTGCCTTACAAAGCCATAAACATAGCAGCTCATATTTGTGCTTAGTGGAGCCTGCAGAGGGTGCCTGAGCTGTGCGTGCCCCATAAGGTGCATCGCTGTATTACTTAAAGTATCTTAAACCAGTACAGTAAACTCCCCACTATCTGGCATTCAAGCAACCAGCACTCTCAAGCAACCGGAAAAAGAAAATCGAGAATATATGTCCTCCAATATTTTTTTTTTCCTGCCAGTGGCTTGGTGCACAATAGACTCAATTTTTTTTGTTTGCAACTAAATTTATTTAGTTGCTAACACAATTCTATACATTTTGCTGCTGGCCAGCGGCTAGATTCCGTGGTCGGCAGCAGAGTGTAAACAATGGGGAGAAATGGCAAGCATGCTATTGGCTGTTTCAAATTGCAATAGCAGGCTGGCTATTGTGCCCACTGAACAGAGCCGTGCATCTGAGAGAACTGTCTCTCTCAATTCTGCTGCACTGCTCACTTAGTGGGGTTTCAATTGCCTGCCTTCTATTATTACAATTTGAAATAGCCAATAGCAGGGTGGCTATTGAAACCCTGCCCACTGAGCAGAGGCACAGACCTGAGAGAGAACTTTCTCTCTCAGGTCTGCTACTCTTCTCAGTGGCTGGGGCTTCAATAGCCAGCCTGCTATTGGCTATTGCAATTTGAAATAGCCAATAGCAGTCTAGCTATTGCTCCCAGCTGCTTACATTCACCTGTCGGCTGCAGAGGCCAGGCTGTGGGGGAAGCGTGCACCGCATGGGAATGATTGCTTGAGAGTTGCAATTGGCTCTTGAGCAACCTGAAACTACAGCAATAAGTTTTATTGTGGGCATACATTAGGGCTACAACCAACTAATCGGTGATCGATTAGTGAGAATAGTTGTCAACTATTCTCATTATCGATTAATTGGTTGGTGCTATTGCACCAGCCCACTATCTGCTGTATTTACATTCAGCTGCCAACTGAGCAATCTTGCTATGGCAGCTGTCATTTCCTGGCTGAAGCTATTCAAGCGCCATGTGCTTACCACACAATTTATTAAAGAAAAAATGTAAAAGGTGGGAAAAAAGTATATTTTCAGTTTTTTGTCCTGACAAATTCTGCTGTGGGAGGTACATTGCAATGCCATTCATTTCAATGGCACTCCAAATGTGCCTCCCACCCATAGTGTGATCACCCACACTGGAACGCACAGTACCTCATTGCTTTGCATTCCAGTGCAGTGTGATTGCAAAAAATTGTTCATGTTGTTTTATTCTGAAGTAAACGTTGTAACACTCCATTTCTGTATTTTACTTCAAATTAAGGATGGTATTCTATTTAATTTTTTTAATCCAATTTAATCGCAAAAATAATCGGCCAACTAGTTGATTATGAAATAATCATTCGCTGCAGCCCTAGACGTTATACAAGTATTTGGTGATCATTTGAAATGAAGTACATTTTAAAATTACTGGTTAAAGATTTGCCCGTGTATGGGCAACATTATAAGCCAAACCTGTCTTATGCTTCAGGTTGACTTATGTATGGACATTGAATCTGCTAACTCTGCTTTAGGTTCTTTTTCTTCACCCCTCCCTGACATATATTGGCCTCAGGAAACCTTGGTGGGCCTCTCGGTATAAGGAAACAAAACTCTGTTGTGGATGTCTGGAATCAATGCTAGGGGAAATTAATTTATTACCAAGGCAAATGATAATGAACCCGAGTCCAAGCTCCAGGCATACTGAGACCTTAATCAAGTACTGCTTAGAATTACATTAACAAAATAAATGTTTTGCATGACTGAGGATTTTTTCTTTTTAGATCGAAAATGGCATTTTTGAAGTCATGTGGACTCCATTTATTTCAGATTTTACTCTTCGAATTCATTGTTTTACTATTTGGAATGTTAGGTGAGAGTCTGAACATACTATTTTCCTCTTCTGCTCAATGCAAAATTTTTCAGTGTTCTGATATAATCATTTGACAATCTCTCTACCGAATTCACAATGCGTATTGAATGGGGACTGATTGTTGAGGAAGAGCATGAAAAAACAGCATCACAAAGGGACTTTTGGCTTGGAAAAGATCATTGGATAGTATGTCCATGTTTGGCTCACCTAAAGATACCTTTAAAAAGGAACTTGCTTTTGGTTATAATGAAATAATATCTGCCTAATAACTGTCTCTGTATATTATATATAAAAAAAAAAAAAACAGTAATGACTGGTTCACGGGATCCAGTGTTGTCTTCGTTCCAAATTCTCCTTGGACTGCTCTCCCCTTCCGCCATGTTGATTTTACTGTTTGTGAATGCCCAGACATGCCACGGGTCTTAGTCAGATATATAGGATACACGCGGTATATCTGTACATGTATGAGATCAGAGTATGTGAAGACACGCGCACACCATAGATATCTGTCAGGGCCCAAATACATTGGTAAGACCTGTGGTGCATCAGCGCAAAGATGGTTGAAATCCTCATGCCTAGGAACCACTGCCTCCTGGGATAAGTAATGTGGATATCACAGTGGGCGGTGGGAGCCCCAACTATGTCATCCTTGCCTAGGCAAGGAACCAGGAGGCACGACTAGGTCACCCTCACCAAGGCAAGGAACCTGGAAGTAGCCTTGTGAAGGGGCTGACTTCTTCGAGCTGTAACCTGCTTCTCCAATTATTGCTTAAGTGTAATATAGAAATTATTATAAAGGATAGTAGCATTAAAGACATTACATTAAACATATATTCAGAGCAAGGACTTTTTTGTCCTTAGTCCTGGTCTTCTGCCATGGCAGAAAAGTTATTTGTAAACAAAGCAATGTTTACACTGGTGGGGGCCTATGAGGAAAGCTCTCAAAGCACAAGGAAAAAAAAGTTCAATATTTGTGAGGATCACTGGATATTTTAAAGAGCCAATAGGTTTTAAAATTACAATTAAGGTTTAGTAAGGCTTAGCCATACATGCTTAAATTTCTCTCATTCAGCCCATGTGGTTCCTCCATCCACACTAAACCGCATGGATAGAGGAATCCGCACTGCCGGCTATTGTCTGAATAGACTAGATGCAGTCACTGTTAGGCTGACAATTTTCCATCCCAGCTCTTTCAGTTTTTCATCCAACCTTTTTTGTTTTGTTTTTTAGCGGGGTGGTGCTGACAGGGCCACCCACAGCTCAAATTTCCACCAATTCAGTAGGATTCAGAAAAAATTTGAACCATGTATGATCAGCTCTAGTTACTACTTTTTTTTACATGTAATCAATGCAATTAGTGCTGATTTATTTGTATTCCAAAATTTCTGATGCCAGAACACCAACATCTAAAAAAAATATACCGGTTTTCTAAAGCCAACAACTACCAAACCGCTGACCGAGTGATGTATTGTACAGTTTGTGTTGCAGTGTGTGATTCTTTGGCTGTCTCTCATTGCAGGTGATGTCTCTCCAGTACAGATGAGCCCCGTGTCTCAGTCTCAGTTCATCCCTCTGGCAGAAGTCTTATGCTGTGCAATATCTGATATGAACGCCGCACAGATTCTAGTAACTCAAGAATCCCTCATGGAGCAGCTGGTAAAACATTACCCAGGTGCTGACAATTTGCTCACTGTGTTTACAATATGTGTAATCCATATCTTGCCTAAAGCAGTAACCCAAATTGAGCTCCGTGTGCTTCATACACAAACATTTGCATCAGTTTGGATGTATTAAACAACTGCACCTAATGCTTTAACCAATGCCAGAAAAGTAGAAACCCATTCAGATGTGCTGAAAAATGATGCGCTCTATAAACCTGCTGCCAAATTTTAGGCTAAGACATGGTCATTTTTTCCCCTCTCTTTCTAAGTACTAGAAACATGTAAATAGAAGTGAGTGATGCCTTCTTTATGGCATTGTGAAATGGGATAGAGATGCAAACTGCCACAGCAAATCTCACCAGTGTAACCCAAAGATATAAAAATCTGGCTGGTGATGAAACCCGCTGGTGCTCACCCAAAATATTTATTTTAAATGGTTTATCCTTTTATGTGCAGATTAAAGCTGCACGTGACCCGCCAATGTTGTATGGTTGGCTTTAGTACACGTTTGCACCAACACCTCACAACGCAGTGCAAGAATGACTTCTTTGCTATGGAGGAAAAAAAGATGAAGAAATTTCAGACAATGTCTCTTATAGTCTGAAAACTGATGCGCACATGTTTGCCAATATTATCCCAAATTAATGTAAACAAAGTTTGAATTGGTTATATAACCATATATCTGCATGTAGACTGATGGTGCCCATAGACGTTACATGACAGCCTCCCCAGTGCAATAATGTTTGCAGGCATCAGCCATTGCTGTAATATCTTTTGTGTACTTGCAGACTCTGCTGACTGAGGCTCAGGGGGTTGGTTAAAAAAACCTTGTCCAATTTCTATTGTTTTCACTGATAGGGTGTCATTGGATGTGACTATAGGGCATCATGAACAGTCGCCTTACCATGTGTGCACAGGAATGCAATAGCTACCACATATACATAGACAGACAAATCACATAACCTAAGCAGATCTTCTAAATGACCAAGATTCATTTGGCTGGAAATAATTATAGGCACCATTTGCTGGCCGCACAGTCATTTCCATCTTGTGCAGTGGACTACAAATTGCAAGCTTTCTCTTCCTATTTAGGAAGGGGAAATATTTCCGTGAACAGGATTCCTGTTTTTTACTCTGGATACAAACTGTTGCCTTTAAATAAACATAATTCCGTATCGTTCTAATCTGATTTTTGCTCCTTACCTGAGAGAACAATAGCTGCCATGCCTTCTGAGTTTTGTATTGGCACACTACTGTTCTCTATGAAGGGATCTCGTTTCTTCATACTACAGCCCTGAATGCTATGTAACCTTTCCTCAGCCTCACTGCAGCCTAACAGTCATAGAGGCTGTATACTAAGATGTCTCCATCTTTGACTGTAATGGCATATCTAAAACTGTACACACACATAAAAAATGGCACCAGAATAGTACTTTGAAATAATTACCTGTCAGTTTAAAAATTGATTTAATTTATTGAATGCTGTATATTTCTTTTATAGGTATTGCAACACCATCCCAGGAAATTCTCTATTCCACTCTTGGTACTCTAATCAAAGACAGGAAAATCTTTCACACTGGAGAAGGCTATTTCATTGTAACTCCGCAGACATACTTCATCACTAAAAAGCCATTTTCACACAAGTGTGGTGCAGCCGAAGAGATATCCGCCTCACCACCGACCGTTACGTATCTTGTAAGCATGGAAAGTTGTGCCGACTTAACTAAAGTTAACATCCCCTCTGTGTCCCACTGCCGTTCATGCAGCTGCTTCTCTGAAAACTCCACCCAGAACATACTAGGACAGCAGTCAATCAACGAGAGCAATGCAAAAGAACATAAAAGTGTCAAGGATGCAAAAACATCTGTTCAAAACCAAGCTACCTCAACTTCCCGAGACGATCATGCCTGTGCGAAGACCAAGCCACAACTCTCAATAAAGGAAAAAGAAAAGTGCAGTAAGAAATTTGGCATCAGTCTGTTTTGGAGAAACGTTTCTAAAAAGGAGAAATCTAAAAAAGAACTGGCGACTTTCTCTGCACAGTTTCCACCAGAAGAATGGCCAGTGAGGGATGAAGATAACTTGGATAATATCCCACGTGATCTAGAACATGAAATCATTAAGCGTATTAACCCAGTTCTTACTGTGGACAACTTGATGAAACATACAATGCTGATGCAGAAAATTGAAGAACAGAAAAAGTACTTTAGTAAAGGGACCTCGACCGATATCCGAACCAAAAACGGACATAATGGTAAGAGCAGCAATAAGAAGAAAAATGGTAGGATGTCAAAGTACCATAAAAAAGTTCAGGCTAGTAAAGAAAAGGCAAAAAAGGACAGTGGTGTCCAAAGGTCAGATGTTCATGTGGATGCAGATGTGAAGAAGTCCTTTCAACAGACCAGTGGAATGGATGACATACTGGTTCCAGATGCCTTCCCTCCATCTAATGCAGATGTTGAAAAACATGAAGTCCTCCATAAAAAGCCAATTCAAAACCCTTTTCAGGGCATTTCCTATAGGGAAACCACTAACATCACTGGACACAAATCTGTAAAAGACATGAAAAGGACTAACTCTGGAAAAACCAGAAAAAGTATGTCAAGGTCAAAGTCGTTGGACTGCCCAGGGTCAAATGCTGAGGCTGGAACAAGACATTTTAGATGTGATCGGCCTGTAAATGATTATTATAACGAGGAGCTGTTCCAGGATCAGATGGTACCTGTTAATGATAAAGATGGTTTGACAGAATATCCTCCTAATTACCCACAATGCAGTACTCTAAGGATAGATGACAAGTTTAAACAAAATAAAGAGCAGACTTCTCTACTAGCATTGTCTGGTGAGGACGGGTCTCCTCTTTTTGGAGACAATCAAACTAATATGGTTTTACAAGCAGATGTGACGTGGGAAAACGAAAGAGGAAAGTGTTTTTCTTCGTCAGGTCTTTATTGTGGTAAGATGAGCACGGTGCATGGACCTTTACAGCACAGCCAAACCAATTTTTGTAGAAACAATAATACTTCAAAGAGTTTAGCGCGACCATACATTGGTTCATTAGAGGAAGCAGAATGTGAACAAAGTGGCTGTTATACAGCCAGTGGAGTGAACATTAAAGATTTACCAAAATATTCAGCACACCGATCTCAAAGAGAAGATCTTGAAAATGGCCAGGGCCGTTACAAAAATGTCATGGACAATGAGGATGCTTCTTGCTCTTACTCTATTGAAGAAGACACCGATGAACATCTTGGCATATGTCCGAATCTTGAAATTCGCATACAGAATATGAGTATGAACATGCTTAACTGGAGTAATGTACGTGACGAAAGCCATAGTGCATCTGAAACTTCCGCAAGCCACTGGGAGCCGAAGAGATCCACGGGACATCAGTTTGTATCTTCTGGTAACCAACACCAAGACGACTGCACTCATTCTGTGTCATCTTCCAGCTGTTATACTAAACCTGCTCTGCACATAAAAGAAAGCACCAACCAGCCATTGTCACACTTTCTTCTCAACCATCCCGAGCTGGAGGATGATACTGTGGAGTCTATTCCGCTTCCAGAGCTGGTGGATGGCAGCATATTTGACTATTGCAATTCCAGTGACTGCAATTCTATGGCAGAAACTGTACAGACATCCATTAAAGGAAGTGATGAGAAATGCATAGAGGGCCCAGAACAGGCACCCGCAGAAATGCGAGCATGCTATGAGCATACATTGAAGCTATTCAATACAAAGAGTAGCCCACTGGAATCCAACCCTAATGAGAATCATAGCATTACAGGAGACAGTGGAATTGAATCGCCACGGTAAGATTTTTACCTTTTTTTTTAGATGTATGTAACTGTTTAAAGGAGAACTATGGGGTCAGTGTTTTTCCCCATAGTTCTCAGGGTAACGGGAGGACACAAACTAGCGTCCTCCCATCACCCTAAGCTCAGTATACCACGAGCTGTAGCACGCGGTATACTGAGACGCTGCAGCTGAAGCGGATCCCGACAATTATGTCTGGATCCACCCAGCAGCGTGACTGACAGCTGGCTCTGCCTATCTAGAGGCAGAGCCAACTGTACCCACACCCTCCCCCGTCCGCTCCGCCAGTCAGCGCTAGCGGGGAGGGGGGAATCCAGCCCCTCCCCTGTCACGGCATAGAGCCGTGACAGGATCGAGAGGTGATCGAACGCCGGTATGTGTTCGCTCACCTCACGGTATAATGAGACGCCGCAGTATACCACGAGCTGCTGCTCGCGGTGTACTGAGATGCCGCAGCTGAAGCGGATCCTGACAATTATGTCTGGATCCGCCCAGCTGCGTGACTTACAGCTGGCTCTGTCTATCTAGAGGCAGAGCGAGCTGTACCTGCCCCCTCCCCTGTCCGTTCTGCCAGTCAGCGCTGGAGGATCGGAGCGGGGAGGGGGGAATCCAGCCCCTTCCCTGTCACGGCAGAGAGCCGTGACAGGATCGAGAGGTGAGTGAACGCCGGTATGTGTTCGCTCACCTCCCGATCTACTGAGCCGACCTGTGACAGTCTCATTGTCAGTCTCATTGTCACAGGTCGGCTAGAACTATGAGGTGAGTGAAAAGCACTCGCCTCATAGTTCTCCTTTTAATGGTATTTCCACTTTTACATTGTTTTCTAACCAAGTTGAAATTAAATAGCATGTCTTTCAGCAACTAAAGCAAGTCCTAAAGTAAGATGGTATTTAGTAGAGGTGCACCGAAATTAACATTTCAAAAGAGAAACAAAAAGTCAAACCAAAAATGGTTTTTATTTTAACTTTTTCAAACATTTTATTATTTTTTATAAACTTTTTAATTTTTTTATATGTTCATTTTTTAAAATAAATATTTAAATTTTATTTACATTTTAATTTTTAAATGGGAAATTATATTTCCCATTTAAAATAGAAAAAGAGATTGAGGACAGTGTGTCCTGTTCATTCATAACATGAGAACAGAGTATGTTTTACTATATCCACAATCATGAATGAACCGGAGGTGATGTAGATCACTTCCCTTTCATTCATAATTGGGGATATAGTAAACATACCATGTCCTCAATTATTTACAAACACTCAGCAATCACTGAGTGTTTGTACTCGCTCTCCTTCCTGACACGCTGTCACAGGAGGCTGAGCGAGCGGAGCTCAGCCTGCTGTGACAGCAATGACAGCTGTCTCCGCCCACACACCACTCTGCCCATCTGTGACGGGAGGCTGAGAGGTGTGGGGAGGAGAGACGGCGGCCACTCGCAGCGCTCTCCTCCCGCAGCGCTCGGCTGCCTGTGACAGTTTCTCTCCTCCCCCCTAGGACACAGAGCAGCGCCCAGCATGGAGGAGAGAAAGCAGGGATACGCCGCAGTATCGGCCCGAAAATGGCACTTTTGGCATTAGTACTATTTAAAAAAAGGTTTTGTAGCCCTAAATAGTTATCCACAAAAAAAATAATAATAATTAAGCACAGAGGTGCCAGCACATGCCTTCGTAACTTTACAAGAGTACTGCAAGACCCCCCATTATGCTGCAAGCTTTAATACTTTCTGATACTGTGAAAGGCCAGTCCACCCCAGGGCCAGGCTAGACCAGGCGGTAGGCAGAAGAGAAAAATCCTCCTTGGAGTCTTCAGCAAGAGGGATGCTCCAAAAGGGCAGGGCCTGCAACCCTTGCTGCTGGAGTAGTTCACAGCTCATGGGGATGCACACTTTGTCGTCTTCGCCCTGGGTGCTAAAGAACCTTCTCCTGACACTGGTCCACTCACTCCTGGTTAAGTTTTGAATGTGCCGGGGGTAGGACAGCCTTCAACAGTACAGGGACGGTTGCAGATTTGATTGGCCTGGGTTGTGTGGATCTAAAGCTTTTCTGACGGTACAAGCAGGTACCGTCATGTGCAGGCACTTGACAGATGTGCTTACTTCAGTTGAGCTTTTTGTTGACAAGTATACTTTGTTAGGCTCACTTTTTATTTTATTGATGTTCAATTTGTGGTTGATGTGTGAAAAGCAATAAAATGCTGTGTGATTGGGAACATTCCATAGTAAACTGTCCCTCATGGCATCAACTGATACGTGAACATTTCCAGTACGGCAAAGACACTTCAGCTCCCCTCCTCTCCTAGTGTCTTTTGGCACTAACTCAGAGGGAAAAATTTACAGTAGTCCCTAAAAAAAATGGGGTGAATGGGAAATCTCACAATGGGGGCATATGTTCTAGAGACAATTAGGAAATGCTGTATTTGTTCACCCTGACTTTGTGTAGATTTGCTGTCACTTTCCATTGTGTTTCTGGGATTGGCAGAGAACAAAAATCCCCAATGGGGACAAAAATCTGATGGCGGTTCTAACCTTTGCCCACACCATCCAAAACTAGGGGCACAATTTTGTCTGCAATATTATTCGTTAATTAACAAACTGGAGCTTCAAAGTTGATTTCACTGCCTTGCTTTCAGTATAAAATGTATCCAAAATGTGGAGTTACTCTTCAACACAAGCTAGCTCAGATTAGATTCTAGAGGTGATACTTTGGGTGGCCTGGGCCGGTAAAGAAAGACATTTTTTTTGTAACATTTATGCCCTGCAGGTACTGCCAGGCAGGAACTTGCTGATAAATCTCCAGCCAGGAGCTACAGATAACATTTTACTACTGGGCAGCAAGGTATAGTAGAGAGTTTTTGCCCAGAGATATGTAGAACATGCGGCTGCGAAATTGGCATTGGTGGAGGTATATGTAGCAGCTATCCGTTTGGTAGTGAGGAGATTGTCTAACACACCTCATATCATTTGGCAAAGAGGGGAAGAGAGAAGAGCCGCTGTCCTATCGAAATGGCCAACTCCACGAAATCTCAAATCATGTCGCTTCCGGTCACTTGCCAACAGGAGATTTCATCGTGATGGTGTTATACTGCACAACAGCAAGAGTATTGTGAAAATGCTATGCACACATGCGCACCACTACAGTGGATGCATCAACAAAGTGCTGCTCATTTTGAAGGTTTAAAATATATTTATATTACCATTCAGTCATCACCCATACACCTCTCTACTCACTCCCTATAACCTGCTCCCACCTCCCTTTCTTTTCTCTTTATCTTCTCCTCTGACAATTGGTAAGCCTGGAATTTCCAATGCTGTTCATTTGGGAATAAATACAATAAGTTACAATAGTTTTTGAAGGCTGGAATTTTTTTATGGATTATTCATATTCAATGGAAGGGTTTTGGTCTCGGGGGTATTCATCTTCTCGTCTGTAGCTGGCTGGACTGTTACACTTCCTGATGAAGGTTTGCCAGAACTGAAAACATATCAATACTTTGATTCTCTAATCCAATATTAATTGTGTTTTCAGTAATATAAAATGGTTCTGAGAGTCTGTATTTCCTTCTCTTCTAGAACTCGGATTAGTCTTGCATCGAGCAATTCTATGATTTTGGAAACTTTGAAGAGAAGGACATTTCTACAGAATCTGGAAATAAACGTCGGTAACAAAAATGATGGACTGCTTACTGCCAGCTCTCTAATGCAGCTGACCCCAGCTATGAATGTATAGTATACAACCAACACTCTCTGCTTTTGCATGTTTTTTTTGCCTTTTTGGTTTTACATTTTTTTTAACCTGGGGAAAAGAACTTCTATTTGTACTGCTCAGTTTTCTGGTAGGTAAGGTATTTTTTTTTCTATAAATACCTGGATGGCCTTCATATATGTTTTATGTATTTTACAAAACATTCTGGTATGCCTTAGGAGGTTCTTTGTTATAGGAGTTTAAAGGACCTTGATAAAACTACCTAAACAACTTGTCATTTTCTATATTGGTTTTTGTATTCGAGCTGGCCATGCACCCATCTATTGTGTAACAACTGCTGACTGTAAATTATTCAGCATGCGAGAAGATTTCTGTGACCAAAGCTACAGATCTGAACTGCTCATTCTTGCTTGTTGGTAAGAAGGCCAACTCCAGCTGAAATGTTTTGGATAAAGTGGGGAAGGGTTGGAGCCTCTGTCTGCTTTTTATTACTGTGTCACAGATGGGAAGATTTTAGAACAAAGTGTTGGAAAATCTCTTCAACTGAGACGCATTCAAAAGCAAAAACCTATTTCTGGTAAACTGGGGAAGAGTTAGAACTGCCTTGCTTTCTCAGTGACAACGGCACATCTGTTTCTTGTAATGAACTAAGCTTTACCGAGGAAAGCAATCTAAAGAATAGAAACAATTTGTTTTCTAATCTCAAGAGTTCCTACGGAAAGGGACAATTTGCGTTTATTGAAAATGAACACTTTCATGTACACAAGAAAAGCATGGTTTCGGAGTAGCATTCATATATCAGTGTATTGTCTGCATTGGCTTACAGCAATGAATCGGATCAAACCTGCACTAGAAATGGACTGTTAGAGAATCAAAGTACCGGAATTTGACCTGGTATCAGCCTCTGGAATTGTCTGTATAGCAGGGCTGGAGTGTCACAGAAAATAGAAACCAATCCATTCATATGCTGACGAGAAGCATGCCGATAGGAAGACAAATCAGTGAGCTCATCACAGCACTGCTTTTCCTTTCACTGTCCAGTCCAGGATGGGTCCAGGACAACCTGGGCTTGGAGGAAGTGGGATGAAAGAAATTACTGCAGGGACAATCTCTGGAATGACGCAAAATTTTGCAGAAAAATATGGTTTTGTTATTTATACCTTTTTCAATACGACAGTTTTTTTCTTATTTTTGGCTGGAGCTCTTTAAATATAGGCCCATTATCATGATTGTGTCTTGTGGGACCTTTCCTGAACAAAATGTGATGCCCTTGCTTTGGTATGAGCGGTCTGTTATCTTTGGTCAGCAAAAAGTGTTCAGTCTGTTTGTCATTGCAATCCAATCTGTATCCTGAGTAGGGCTGCAACAACTAATCGACATAATCGATTATAATCGATTATTGAAAAAGTTGTCAACTTTTTCAATAATCGATTAATCGGCTTCTGGTTAGTTGGCCCTGTTCACGGCTCCACACACGCTGCACGCCACACCTCCTCCCCACCTCACGCTCGCCGCTGCCAGACCCGCCCGCATCCACGCTCTTCACGCCGCACCTCCTCCCCGCCTCACACTCACCACCCGCCCACATCCACGATCGGCACAGGGACGCGGGGAGATGTAGTAAGGAGGAGCAGGTGTGAGGGGATGACAGCCGCCGATAGACAGGTCTGATCTCAGAAGCAAGTTGCTGGAAGACTGCTCAGGTAAGCCTGCGCTTCCCACACATTGTGCTCTATAATGTATTGCTGGGATTTGTATTCCTCTATAGCTGATGGTACATTGTGCTGTATATTATACATAGGAATACAAATCCCAGCAATACATTATACACTGTATGTATAATGTATTGCTGGGATTTGTTGTATTCCTATATAGCTGGTGATATTCTGCACTGCGCTGTATAGAGGACTACAAATCCCAGCAATAATACATTATACAGCGCAATGCAGAATACCGCCAGCTATAATGTACTATTGCTGGGATTTGTTGTAGTCCTCTATAGCTGGTGATATTCTGCATTGCTCTGTATAATGTACTATTGCTGGAGCCATTTTTTTTATTGTTTATCCGATTAACCGATTAATCGAACTTAATAATCGGCTAACTAATCGATTTTGAAAATAATCGTTAGCTGCAGCTCTAATCCTGAGCTATTCAGGAGTTCGTCATGTGTCGGCAATGTGTGATTATCAGCGGTATCTCTCTTGTAACTTGGCCTATAGCTCGTCATTGTATTCTGGGTAAAATCAATGATTCTGGAAAGCTCAGTGAGACGCTGCTTGGGCAGCCAAGCGCCGTGTCTCAAACATGGATAAGTGGTGCTCAAATACATTCTCTTATAGAAATGTAATTCCAATCTGTGATCCAGAGCCTTTGAGAAAACTATTTAATAGTTCTCTTCAGTTAGTGACTACACCGGTGTGTTGTGACAAAGACCTACCTACAGTCTAATAGTTGTTTTTATGAAGTATATGAAGATCAACCTCCTGTAAAGATTTTTATTCATGTGTGCTAAGGCCTTCACCCTGTTTCTTTTGTATAGTTTGTAATTATACAAGTACATGGGAGTTGGCTATTAATGGAAAATAATAATGGGATTTGGTAATACTAATGTGCACTAGGAAAGTCAAGGTCCACTTTGAAGGAGAACTGAAGCCAACACTTTTCTTTCCTTTTTATTTTGGATAAAGTAGGAGGGTTATGGCTGTCTGTCAGCCATCCATGTCCAATTGGGGATTTTTCCCTTCACCTTCTGTCAGATGACCACAACAGGAAGTGAGAGGAAAAGCCCTGGTGGCCATCATTGGTGTCCCGAAGGGAAGATCTATTCCCGTTATAGTGACAACCCAAAATTAGGGATTTTCTTTTACTTTGTGATAAGTTATCAGGACACCTAGTGAGGGCGAAGGTGCCTTCTAATTGCTCTTCACTCTAAATGTTTTGGCTTCAGTTGCACTTGCATACAAGATCTTGTATGGGGCCCGTTCTAATCCACAAATGTTCTCTCACAGTGAATCTCCAGCCACCCAAAACCTTTTTTTTTTTTTTTTTTTTAAATAGTGGGGAAGGGATTAGACCTTTTCTG